TCATAAATCAGAATGATAGGAGGGTAGGGTCAGGGGTAAAGAAGAGAGAGAGAGAGAGAGAGAGAAAGGGCGTGAAGAACAGAGAGGGAGATAGAAGGGGAATAAAAAGAGAGAAGGAGAATGAAGAATAGAGAGTGAGAAAATGGAATTAAGAGAGAGAAAGTGAGAAGAAGAATGAAGAGAGAGAATGCACAAAGGGAATGGAGAAGAGAGAAAGAGAGTGCACAAAGATAAAGAGAGAAGAGAGAGAGGGTGAAGGGAATGGAGAAGAGAGAGAGAAGGAGAATGGAGAGAGAAAGGGAATGAAGAGAAAAAGAGGAATGAATAGAGAGAGAAGTGGAATGAAGGCGAGAGAAAGACAAGTGGAATGAAGGCGAGAGAAAGACAAGTGGAATGAAGGAGAGAGAAAGACAAGTGGAATGAAGGAGAGAGAAAGACAAGGGGAATGAAGGAGAGAGAAAAAGAGAGACGATGAATGAGAAAGATGGAAGATGAATGAAGGAAAGAGAGAGAGAAGATGAATGAAGGAAAGAGAGAGAGAAGATGAATGAAGGAAAGAGAGAGAGAAGAGGAATGAAGGAAAGAGAGAGAGAAGAGGAATGAAGGAAAGAGAGAGAGAAGAGGAATGAAGGAAAGAGAGAGAGAAGAGGAATGAAGGAAAGAGAGAGAGAGAGGAAATGGAAGAGAAGAAAATAGAAAGAAAAAAGGAAAAAGAATAGCTGAGAGAGAGGGAGAAGAAAGGAAGAAAAAGTTGAAAGAGGTAAAAATGAAGTAAACCGTGCAAGAAGAAAGGGAGGAAAGATAGTGAGAAGAAAGAAAGAAATGAAGATGATAGATAGGAAGATGCAAGCTAGGAAGTGGGACCAAAGAGAGAGATGAATTTGGAAAGCCTTTAAAATCAGCCTAGATGGAAAATATGTGGTTCTTGCTTTCTTTCACCCTAACTTTAACCGCCCCCATGACCCTTGAGATCCTAGGATGATAAAAGCAGATGCCATTTTTTAGATGAATAATGGGTAGAAGGCGCCAAAGGTCTGATGCCATTTTCTGGGACACACACACACATACACACAAAATTTGTGAATGAAAAGACATAACATTCATCCAGTAAAAGAACCTACAAATCAGTAACTACAGGCATCAAGGAATGCCTTTAATTTAAACGAAAGAAGAGTAGCCATGAGAACGAGTTAAGGAGAGAGAGAGAGAGAGAGATGAGTAGGAAAAACGTGAGGAAAGAAAAAATTTATAAGAGAGGAGAAAGAAATAGGTGTCATGAAAAAAGAGGGAGAGAGAGTGAAAGACATGAAAACAGTTAAAGAAATAAGAAAAAAAACACAGAATGACAAGGCAGAGGGAGGAAAAAATAGAAGAGGAAAATAGAGAAAGATATGAGAGAAGGAAAGAATGCCAGACAGAGAGAGAGAGAGAGGGAGGGAAAGGTAGGAAACTGGGAAATATATAGAACAGAGAGAAGGGAAAAAAAGATGAGTCAGATTTTGGCAAATGAGCCAGGCCAAGAAATTTCCAGCACACAGACACACACAATATATACATATATATATATATATATATATATATATATATTAGTTAAATTCTCAGATCAATTCTGTGGACAAGACAAATTGGCGTAAGATGACAATTTGAAAAAAAACTAAAATTTTTTTCCAATTGTCATCTTTATATATATATATATATATATATATATATATATATATTTTATAAAAGAATCAATAGATATGTTTTTAATCCAACATTTTCATTATAGTGGATACTAATATTTGAAATAGGCAGCACGTTTTTATTTTGAATGGTGTATATTAAATTTATCATTCTGCACATTTGAGAGATTTGATTAAAAAAATGTGCTCACCAGCTGGGATTGAACTTGTGTGTTCCTGTGTTGCTCTCTGTAGAAGAAACTCCTGTTTGACCTGCCATGCTTTACATACACACACACATATATATATATATATATATATATATATATATATAGAGAGAGAGAGAGAGAGAGAGAGAGATTTAAGGTACTGGACAATTTTTTTCACTCTGTTCAGACGTTTCTGGTGCTTTCTTTTTTTTTTCCATTTTTCTTTGGATGCCAATTTATTTGAAAATTTTGCTATCCAGGTTTTTTCACCCACCAAGTTTAAATAGATTTACACACACACACATATATATATATAAAATCATTTCACCCCAAGCAAGGCAATAACACTACTAAGATGCAAGGGGTTACTGAGTGTTAGAGAATAGGAGAAAAAATATACTATTAAGGAGAGAGGACACTGAAAGAGCAAGAATTAACAATTGACATTGCATTTAAATAATTGAACATCAAAGTTGGTTGGAAAACAAGAAACCAGAAGATAGTTCCACAAGCGAGAAGTGCAAGAGAAGAAACTGCTAGCATATAACTTATGGTTACATCTAGCAATCTCAACTATAAAATGTTGAGACCTATGCTTAAATTGAGTACTACACTTAAATTCATGAAGTCAACATACCATAGAGGAAAATTCGTCAGAACAATTAGCATGAATGTATTTATAGAAAAGGCAGGGAAGCTATGTTACAGCAGTGCGAAAGTGAGTGACAACAAGATGCTAGGTCAGAAACAATAACATTGCAGATTTTTCTCTGGGTTATATCAAGAATCTCTAAATATATAGCATTTATATATGTGTGCATATGTGTGTGTGTTTGTGTTTACACACACATATAATTATCTGATTTAAAATTTGTTGAATATAAGCCATGGAGCATTTGTAGCTACAGACAGTGTGGACATAAAAATCAATATTGAATAGTGACTTGCAGTTTCACACTGTAAGTGATCATCAGATCATTTTCACACTGTTTATCTATATATACATTACAAATTCATCAGGCACTATTTATCATTTTTTTTGCAATTTGATGCCCACAAAACATTTATCCATGGGTTATTCCTACAATTTGCTAAACCAGAAGTAGTTTATTTGATTGTTCGTTTAATCCCCAGTCAGCCTGGACAATTAGGCATATGTGTGATGATCAGGATATGACTGGAATAATAATTATCATCCAATGAAACACGCTGAGTTGAGTGTCACACCCTGCCAAGTAGAACAGCTTGGGTTGTGCTGGCAACATAATTAGGCCTTAACTTTTTCAAGCCTCGTTAGACAGCTTCGTAGCATGATTTGCCGAGATCTAGAGGAGGAAATTTAGTGTGTATTAGAGATACAAGAGCAAAGAAATGTGTTACATATTAGAAATATGAGATGTCACACATTGCTAGAATACATTAAATGGATGATGTTTGAATTTTGAATTTTATATATTCATAACAGAAAATAGATTTTACAAACTGGAGCATCAATAGATACAGCAGAACCTCTGTTCATGAATTTAAATTGTTCCTGAATGCCATTTGTGATCCAAAATGTCCATAAACTGAAACCATTTCCCCATAGGAATCAATGTAAGATGGATTAATCCATTCCTGGATCCCCAGATGATAGCTTATTTAAATTTTTACAATGTTACGTTGTAAACATATTCATACACAAAGCCAATGAAAATCATTAGCTTGAGTTGAAGGAGGAAATCAAACTCAGCTTGAAGCATGAAACTGACAGTTATCATGCTGTGTTGATTCCTATGTCCTATGCATAACTCTCTCTTTGATGCAATGATAACAGTAAAAATTGCAACATGAGCACTGGTAAAAAACGGTTGCTGAAGACATTAGGTTTATAATACCCAGAAATTCATACACAGATGTCCTCAAGGACACATGGCACAGTGGATAAAGGCATTAGTTAGATCCAGTGACAGGAGCAAAAGAGTGTGAGTTTAAGGCGGTTAACTTGGAGAGGGGAATTAACAGAAGATAACTGGCACATGGAACTAGAACAGTCTACTCCAATGAGTGAAATAAAGGGTTCAGTTTGACATTCCAACCATCTGAAGAAGGCCAGAGCATACAATGGCCAAAATGTTGTGATAAATATGGCAACAAAGATGAGGACAATAGTCTGAATAATGTAAATAGTGTACATAATACTTCATCTCAAAAATATAGACAGATATTCTCTCTCTCTCTTTATTTATAAATATATATATATTTAGGTAGTATATCTTCATTCATGCATGTTTCATTGAATAATATAGACATATTATGTCTATTTATTTTTATAATAATACTTTCTTGTTCTCTAATTAGCTTTTTGATGTTAAGTTGGAATTCATCAAGGCAGCGTAGTTTTTTAACCCAAGTACTTTTGATCTCCTCCAAGATCATCTTCAGGAGTGAATTTCAAAGATGTGAGTGACCCTGTGCTAGATAAAGCTAATTTTTAGTAAGTATTTACAAAATAGACCTGCTATAGATAGAGTTACCAATTCAGTCAAGTTATACTAAAGGCCAAAAATAATATACATAAATAGTAATTTTTTATTTAATTATTGTAGGTACACAATATAATTGAAAATGACATTGTTGAATTCGTTGTTACCCCCCCAAAAAAAACAAAACAAAAAAAACAAGGATAAAAATAGATAAGATATAGGATTGTCCTTTAGGATGGTTGTTGACAATAGCTATAGAGGAAGGGTTAATCTGGGAAACTATTACTTGGGAATTCAGTCCTTACATGACCTTTTAGCAGACCTAGCTCAGTCTATTGAACAGGGTGTTTGCCATAGAACAATTACCAGAAAACTAATGTTGCAAGTTTAACCCTCATTGGGCACCCCAATATATATATATATATATATATATATATTGGGCACTTCGAGGTGGTGTAATGGTTAGCAAGCTTGGCTTGCTAGAACAATTACGACTGAGTAATGTTTGCCATAGAACAATTACCAGAAAACTAATGTTGCAAGTTTAATCCTCATTGGGCACCCCAATATATATATATATATATATATATATATATATATTTGGGCACCTTGAGGTGGTATAATGGTTAGCAAGCTTGGTTCGCTAGAACAATTACGACGGAATAGTGAGTTTGATCTCATTGGGTACCCCCTAATTTAGAAGCCTTGTGCCACATCTAAGCTACTTTTGAAAAATATATATATATATATATATATATATATATATTTCTATACACACAGTATGTCTTCATTCAAGCATGTTTCATTGAATAATATAGACATATTATATCTATTTATTTTTATAATAATCCTTTCTCATTCTCTAATTAGCTACTTGATGTTAAGTTGAAATTCATCAAGAAAGATGCCATAGTTTTTGTTAACCCAAGTACTTTTGATCTCCTCTAAGAATATCCTTAGGAGTAAATTGCAAAGACAAACTTAATGTAACTGTGATTGTTGTGATGGTGATGTTTGTAAATATGCGTGAATGCACTCCATTATAATTACTTTAAAATTAATTGTTGTAGCTATGGTATGGTGTTTTTTTTTGTAAACAAGCATCCACAATATAAGGCAGCCAACCAGAGATAGTAAAAAATGCAAATGGCATTAAATGTTGGTCAAATATATTTAATGTCCTTGGGTTAACAAAAAATTCATATAATTCAATATTGGCTTGGAATTTGTCAATCAGAGAGCTGAGTTCCAATTCCAGTTGGGTTCATTATATTCATTTATGTGGAAAAATGTATGGGAAAGGTATGAATCCACCTCTTCTCCCTCCAGCTATGGGCTAATTAGTAAGACATATATCACTAAACCATTATTATCTCCAAAAATAAAATAAAATTGCATACAAAATATTTAGTTTTCAGCATTAAATAACCCATAGAGCTGTTTATATGCCACAAAACAAAAACAATCAACCCCGAAGAAAAGTATGAAATCACCTCTCCCACCTGCTATGGGTTAATTAGTAAGACTTGCATCACTAAAGCATTATTATCTCAAAAAAAAAAAAAAATTCTTACAATCTAAAACTATTTTTTGTTTTTAAATAGCCTGCAAAAGGTTGATAAACTGTAAAAAATGAATCTATCAATCAATGAAATACTGATTAGCTACACAGGCATGTCTTTTAGGTTTATTCACATTATCTGGAATGTATAGAAACTACCGTGGCCACAAAATGAGGTATCAGTTTATATAACAATTGTAATATAGAATTGATCCCCCACTTAATATCCACATTACAATTTCTTGTTTTTCTGTTAAATTCTAATTAGATATGAATCCGCTTTGACTCCCCAATGCCACTAAACCTTTATTATCTCAAAAAAAAAAAAAAAAAAAAAAAAAAAAAAAATCTTACAATCTAAAAATATTTTCTGCCTTTAAATAACTTATTAAGCAATCAATTAAACTAACAATTTGAAAATTGCTATCTGTGGGAAGCATATTTGTTTTCGCTAAGTGAGAAATCCATATGTAAAATGTATGCTGGTGGGAATATTTTCATTTGAGGGAGGGGAGAAAATGTTTTAGTGTTGGCTCTATACAACTTTGGGAAAA